GGCCTCGTAGATGTGCATGTAGTAGCGGTGCCAGGGGAGGAATTGACCCTAGCAAGGCTGTTAATGAGAGAATAGGCATATCATGAGCCTTTGAGATTGACCTACCACATGGTGGATAATATCCGCATACGCCGTGTTGGTCATTCCCCGGTGAAGGGCCTGAAGGTCACTAAACCGACTCGTAGTTGCCGTCAATCCGGACTGGGCCGGCTTGTTCATCAAGCATTGAACGGAGTCAAGGAAACTGTTCTGCTCGTGCGTGGTCAAGTGACGCCATTCCTTGCGGACAGTCATCTTTTCGCGAGTGCAGCTTCGACTGAAGAATCCAGGGATATCATGAGAAGTGGTCTCACTCTGGTCAGTGTTAGCAGATAAATGGGGGACTGCAGCAGCAGAGGTAGTGGCTGCCAGCGCCAATGCCACCGCGAACGACGAAAACTTCATCCTGTGAAGCAGAGAAGGGAAGACGTTTATAAATTGTTTATAAAATGAAATTAAGAAATATAAAGAGAAAAGGAGAAATAAATGACTGTCAAAGGTAGGCTGGATACTCGAAAGAAAAGAAAGAGAGACTGAAGTACAATGTAAAGAATGAAGACCTCAAGACCTCAGCAGTAACTTATGCCTTTTATACCTCTCACTGTTCGAAACGATGAACCCAACTCACATTACAGGCGCCTTCAAAATAATCCTTTCAACCACGGATCGGCACTGGAAAGTATCAATCGGGAAAGGTCCGGAGGCTTTCTTCTATAAGGCTGGAAAGCCGGTGACATGGGAATGGAGGAGCGGATGAAGAACGGTCCACAACAGTGATAGAAGCGGACTGTATTCCAGGAGCCAAGGTTTCAGCCACACCCAGTAAATTTCATGCTGGATCCCCCTTGAACAGACGTTTAGCGTCTTCCAGCGACAACGAAGGGCCGAGGTCGTTGCGGCAGGCACACGATCCCGAACACTATATGATAGGGGCACCGATACAGGATGGTCGGTCAGATGAACGTGTAACACAATTGTTGGGCTCAAGTATACTCTGAGGATAGCTTAGAGTGGAGTATAGGAGAAGACATTTCTATAATTGGAGACATTAATGAGCCACAAGTATTGCGCAGCGATATTTCGTGGATCTCCTTCCGGGCTGTAGAGAGGCACCTCAGGTGGACCAAGTGCTGGTGAAGCGATTGTGCCCAGAAGCAGTCAAACGCGCAGTTCTCTCTACAGCTACTGAGAGCCTGGTATTTGGCTGCACATGGGAATAGCTTCAACAAAGTCAGCCATGCGTAAGGCGCCCCGTCGGGAATACGTAGGGCAGGGCTTGGCGCGCCCCAGGCGAGGGTCTTGACGCGCGTCGGTACTCAACCAGTCAAGCAAGCTTTGCTGAGATCCGACTTGCCGAAAAGCTAGAAAAAGCTAATCGCCGGTAGAGAGATAGAGAGTAGATACAGGGGTGGATCAGTCAAGGGCCCATCATTCCGGTCACTGTCAGTGTCAAGCGGCTGACTATCTCGATTCTTGATGGCAGCCGACCAATTTGCCGACCCACCCTTACCCGCCGATAGAAAACGGCAGGGATTGACCAGAAAAGTCTGCAGTGCTCTGACTTTTTTTCACTCCCTTGTTTAGTCCTGACTCGAGCAAAGAACGAAAGATGCCTGCAGCGCCTGTATCCAAAAGGAGGAGGACTGCGTGGCAGCAATCTCTGCAGCGGAGACTAAACTGCTGGTGGACCGCGCTCTCGATGCTGGGGCTCCGCCGAACAAAAACTTCTCATCATTGATGAAGCCATGATCTTATCTTGAAAATTCCTCCAATTTTAGACTCAGGAATATGAAAGATGTTTATGTCAGCGGCTCCAATGCGCCAATCGCATCCCTTGCTTCAGAGATGGGATTCTCCGCAGACCAGACCAAAAAGTCAGTGTGGGTCGTATATTCATATTATCGTGACCTAGGACCAACATGGTGGGGTACAGGTGATACCTTCGCTTCTGCAGAGATGCAAATACACATGGAGGCGATGGCAAAGGGAGTGAGGGCATAGGACGTATACAGAAGGTCCGGTTAGCAGCCGGCATTGCACCACCCTAAGAACTGATCTTTTTCAAAGTTGCTGGATGGTGAGCATCACTTAGCCTTTGCCTTATATATGAGAGAGCAGGTTCGGGGACAGATTACCATTCTTTCTGTAACTTTCTGCCCTCTGAAGTAGTGAGTATGTGCGAGGTCTTCAGCATGAGGCGTATAAGCTTCTCTTGGCATGGAAGACGCGGCCTCGAGCCACGCGAAATTTATGCGGGCCATCTAAGCACGTTGTAAGCCGGCTGTTTGAAAATTGCGAACTGATCCACACGAATACGAGAAGACCTGTGATCCGTCCGCTGTCGTTCCACATGATCGAAAAGGAAGTGCGTTGGGAGGTTTTCATGTCCTACCCCTGAGATAGCGAGTCCGTGGGTACTACTCCCTATCAAGGCGCTTCAAACTTCCGAAAGGAATGGGCAGCATCGGTTAGAGCTCGAGAAATGGGAGTAGTTTTTGCGTTACCTCATTTCTCCCCTGAAAGTTCTCTTAGGAGATGGCGTGTCTAGCCTTTCTGTATTTCATGCTCTATCCGATTGATGTTGGTGTTCATCTTCCAGGCTTGAGTGCCTTCCCCCATATAAGTGATGAGACTGTGAATAGGTCTTAGGCACAAGGTTTGGTGAAGTGTTAGCCATTGACGATAGCTTCAGCATGATCAGTTTCCGGGCATGCAAACTGATTAGTGACATTGAACTAAAGACAGTCAACACGTCTACAGCAAAATATAACGAGCCTGTTCCTAAAACTTTACATGATTTTTACCAAGTCTCTACATGTCATTGTCTTGAAATGACATGATCTTCTTTGTCAGACACTCCCCAGCGGAACAGTTTTGGATTGCCTTCTGACATAGGTCATACGATAGCCAAAACTTCAAGAAACAGAACTTCGCGTCCCGCTGTCATGATTTAGTTGTACCTGGCTATGAACGGTGATCGCCAGATTGGCGAGCTGCCAGCCTCTTCTAGCAACGATCGACATCGGGTTGATCTTCGGAACCGGTGACTTCAATCTATACCGGGCAATGTTCATTAAAGACGTTGTGGGTCGATCTAATGCCTATCCTGCTAATGCCGCTCATGTTAGGATCTCGAAAACAGTATGGAATATAGATACACTCGAATCGAACCTGATCTGCGGCAACTCCACATAACTCGGCGATCTTCCCGCGTGCTCTGGGCAGTTCGAACTGGTATATCCTCTTGGCCATCCATCCCACCGCAAGGATGAGCTAGATGGAATTATCCTTTCTGGGTGCTAAGAAGATAGGATGCTCGTTCATGTGTTCAGTCAATTGACCTGATATGGTCTAGTCACAACATATTCATCTGATTCCTGTCTATGGGTACATATCCAGTCAAGAAAACTTCGGACACGAAGTTACCAAGTATTGCAGACGGCGCTCCCAGTCGCGCGCGTCAAGTCGCCCTCAACAAACAAGGATCATCGTCATATCATACTCGCCAAGGCTCTATAGCCACAATAGTATGATCATACCGGGAGAATTAATGGTAAAGGACCTCCGATCTCGTCCAACGGAGCTGGTTCCCACGCGTACGGACATCTGTTCCCCATTTGGACAGATATCCGCTTCGCCGTCGTGATTGATCCCCGAACTCTCCGGTCCTGGAACCATATGGCTTCTGCAGTGGAAGTGTTAAAACCCGGACAACGGTAGCGATGATAAGAGATGCATCATCACGAAGCAGCGACATGCATCCTACAAAGCGGGGCTGAAGCCGTTGGCGCCGGGGATGAAGTGGATATCCCGACGGACTCCGGCCCGTTGCCTTTTGGCCACGCCTGACCCCTCATGCCGGCACTTATGCCTCTTCAGGGGCTGATCTTCAGTCTTCTCATACATTTTCACATCGAGGCAGACTTGGGGATAGGATTGGTAGCAAATTTGGCAGATGGGCTGTATTCTGTCTTCCCTGGATATCCGGTATTTGACATCCAGCCCCAGGTTTCTACAGCGGGCGGAAACCCGCTCTTCGCGATGCAGATTCTGCATGGCTTGCTATTGCCGAGGAGCAGATGCATGATGTGAAGGTTAATTAAATTGATTTCTCCGGAGTTTACAGGCTCGGTAAGGCACGAGCCACTCAATCACCCCCATTCTTCATCCTAAATGAAGTTTATCTGCCACACACGGGACGATCTCCAAGGAACCAATGGACTGTTCCTCTCGTTATCATCACGCCATGACCACACGTCGTCATCGTTGGGGATGGTAGTCTGATGGACATTCCGCTTGAGGCAAAGTGCGCCCCAATGTCACGCGGTTAGCTAGTCTTCTGCAGGTCTACAGTCGGACGAGAGAGCTCGAGAGCCGATATTCTCAAGCTGAATGTTCTCTACTGCTTCGATACCAGCATGATCGTCCCTTTGCTGTCGCTATCAAGATTTTGAAGTAAATGTTGTTCGTTTATATATGGGAACCGCAGATCTATGCCTGATGCTTGAAAAGACATTCCGTGATCCTTCCGTTACCAAGAATGCTTGTAACTTTGAAGCTTTTTTTCCAAGGCCCTCCGCATCGCCAGTCCCGAACTAAGCGAAATGAGCTCTTCCTCAATGCTGCAGACAGGAGACACCATCGCTTTGGCGCCTTGGCACCATCAGCCACCGTCGGTCCTATCACCATCGCCCTGATCGATAGGCGAATGCGTCAATTTAGTATCCGGGTAGTGTTATCTGCTCGATATTGCACTGGCAGAGCAGGAATCGGAATTGGCGGATAAAGAGTAAAATGAGCTTCAAGGAGGGGGGAGAGGGGACACTGAAGGGGTATAAAATCAAGGCCAACTCCCTACCAGACAGTCCTCATCCAGCAGCATCTAAACAGCTTTCACTCAGATTCCAAGCATCTCCCAGTCTCTCTTCAAGCCATCACTTTACATACATCTCTCTATCAAGATGAAGACCACTGCTCTCTTGACCGCTGGCCTGCTGGCCACCTCTGCTATGGCCGCTCCTCTGACGGCCAAGCGCCAGGCTGCTCGGGCCAAGCGCTCCACGAACCGCCAGAGCAACCCTCCCTTCAAGCCTGGCACCAACGAGGTCCTTACCCTCAATGGCACCAAGAACGTCGAGTACAGCTCCAACTGGGCCGGTGCCGTCCTGATTGGCACTGGCTACACTGCCGTGACCGCCGAGTTCGTCGTGCCCACCCCCTCGGTGCCCTCTGGTGGCTCGAGCCGCGAGGAGTACTGTGCCTCCGCCTGGGTGGGCATTGACGGTGACACCTGTGACACCGCTATCCTCCAGACCGGTGTGGACTTTTGTGTCCAGGGCAGTGAGGTGAGCTTCGATGCCTGGTACGAGTGGTACCCCGACTACGCCTACGACTTCAGCGACATCTCCATCTCGGCCGGTGATACCATCAAGGTCACCGTCGATGCCAGCAGCGACACCACTGGTACCGCCACGATTGAGAACGTGAGCACCGGTACCACGGTCACCCACAGCTTCACTGGGGGTGTTGATGGCGATCTGTGTGAGTACAACGCTGAGTGGATCGTCGAGGACTTTGAGGAGGATGACTCCCTGGTTCCCTTTGCCGACTTTGGCACCGTGACTTTCACCAGCTGCTCCGCTACCAAGGATGGCTCGTCCGTTGGTCCTGAGGATGCCACCATCATCGACATCGAGCAGAACGAGGTTCTGACCTCCGTTTCCGTCTCCGATAGCGAGGTCGTTGTCAAGTACGTCTAAGACATTGGAGGTGTGAGGCTTGGGATTGTTGAAGCTTCGATGGATATATTCCGAAGGCAATGGTGAGATGAGTGACGGAAATGAGGGGTTGGTCTTTTGGCCTAGGGCTACCCCTTTGTTGATACTTCTGAAAAGCAAGAGTTGCAAATGTTTGTCTCTTATTGTATATGATGTTATAGTTTGCCTTGATTTGAATTAATTTAAACCAACGTTGGACTATTGGACTCCCTTAGCGCAATTAAGATATGACGTACACCCATAAAAGATTACGCATCTCTGCGAACGGGCTAACGGCCCTGATATGTCGAGGCACAGAAAATCATCTGGCAAATCAGGACTCGGAAATCTTGGAACTCCAGGCATATACCTCATTGCTGTACAAAATTCACCGATGTGCTTAAACAATTACAATGAATTTAGGACACATGGTATGGTACATTTTAATGCGATCACTAGCACTCATTCGAGCTGTCCATCGAGGCTAGTCGGATATCTTACACGCCGAATCTAAACTCGCGCACCTTCTTCTGATAGTAGAAAGACGCCAACAGACCCGTGGCACCCAAAGCCATGGGGATAGGAGCCTTAGCGCGGGTCTTGATCGTCCGCATGAGACCGGAGACGAGGAGGACCACACTGTTTCCCAGGGCCAATTCCGTGCCGTAGTCCTTGTTCTCTTTGATCAGGTAGCCTGTCAAAACGAGATCAGTATGTGTTCCTTCTTCTACCTGCATCATGTGGGTGCTACGTACCTGCGTAAGCGTAAGAGAGACCCAGGCCGACACCGGCGATCAGGGACGGAGCGGAACGCGTCCGCATGTAGCCGGCGATGCCACCCACCGGCACTGTTGAGTTGCCAATTGTTTAGTCCATGTCTGGTAAATTGATGCAGTTAGGGAGATGTCAGCTTACGCAGGCAAGCCAGAGTGAAGGACGGGTGTTCAGCCATGGTTTTGATGCTTGGATAATTTGAGGAGATGGATGGAGAAAGTAACTTCTAAAGATGGACCTCTTGAATTGTTGGTGTCCTTCTCGGCATTCCGGATGCTCGGAGAGCGAGAGGTCCGAGCACGAGCAGCCAATCAGATGCGGTAGTAACGCTTGACACAAGCTGGCATATATACTTATGAATTCTCTGCTGTTCTGAGTATTTCCTAGAAGTTCGATGAATTTTGTCTATTACATCTGATAGGTGAGGTAGTGCTTTCAATAAGTGTATCGACAGTGTGGATTGAAAGAAAACGTGTTAAGCATCTCTGCAAGCGAACTTTTCAAAGAGGTTTATGAATATATATGTATATATATATATATATATTAGATTATATAGTACTAGCCACTATATATATTACGCGAGGTACACTGAATATCAAATATCAGTACTACTAACTAGGGGAGGTGAACATATTGTCATATGCAGAAACATGTAAGCACTTCTAATGATCAAGGATTGGCCTCCTAATTTAGGATTGCAATACTGAAAAAGAGATAGTAGTAGAGGACTAAAGCACGTGATGTGGACTTCCCGAAGAGGGAGTTCGGCTCTCCGCCTGCCCAATCCAGAACGTGGTATTAACCTCACCGCCCGGCCATGATGGGTGGGTGCCTGGGGCTCTTGGGAAGTGTCATCTTTCTCATGGCTAGTTACGGCTCTGATATACAGAGAGCATTCCGATTCCTCACCCTTCAAACCCCCTTGTCATATAACCTCCCGCCCGAAGCCAGATCCAGCGCCACTGCCTCTTGCAATCCCAACACATTGAATAAATCCCGCGGACTCCCCCCTGCTCGCACCGCCTGCGTGCCGGTTTGCTTCAATTGTTGTACCGCTCCGCTAACCGCCGAGTAGACTGCCCCCAATGCCAATCCAGGGAAGATGATCAACCGAAACCCGAGCTCCTGCGCCTGACGAACCGAGAGATCTGGCGACACACCCCCGGGAACATTGTTGAAGAGAACGGGGGTGGGCTTGAGCTCTTCACAGACCTGTCGAGCTTGATCTGTGGACGTGATGCCTTCCAGGAAGGCTACGTCTGCCCCGAGGGCGATGGCTCCCTTGAGTCGGGAAATGGCGGCATCATACCCCAGTGACTGGAGGGCATCCGTCCGGGCAATCAGAACAATATCACCGTGGGACCGGGCGCGAGCATTCACGGCGGCTTGGATGCGGTCCAGATATTCGTCCTCGGGGACGAGTTGCTTGTTGCGCAAATGACCACAGCGTTTACTCGTCGGCTGGTCTTCCAGGTGCAGAGCGGCCACCCCGGCGCGGATGTATTCGGTGACGGTGCGGTGGACCATGAGAGATCCTAGTAGTATGCCTGGTCAGCCACTGGATCCTGTCATTGGTGGCGGAACAGTACCTCCGAAGCCCGTGTCAGCGTCAGCAATCAGCGGAATTGTCGGGTCCAGATTGGCGATCATCTCTGCATTCCCCCGCATTTCGTTCAATGTGACGACTCCCAGGTCCGGCTGCCCCAGTCGTGAAGCCGTCGTGCCTGCTCCTGTCTGACAACCAGTGTCAATAGACAGATAGAACCCTGACCAACAGTGAGTGGTGTAGTACCTACCATGTACAATGCATCGAACCCCTCCTGGAGGGCGATTCGGGCAGTAAAGCCATCGTAGACCCCCGGACAGACAATAATCTTGCTCTCGTCCGCCAAGAGCTGGCGAAGCTTGGTAACCGCAGGAGCAATGGCCATTGTAATGTGTGCAGTAAATCGATGTGGGCGTAATTAAGCGCAATTGAGGGGTTACAGCAGCAGCAGCAGCAGCAATAGTGCTTGGTGGTGCCATGTGATGATGTTATATCATACTTGTGAATCCTCCGGGCCGCAAGCGGGCCGAGTCCGGGAACGCAGGATGCGAAGGATGCATCCCATTTCATATATTAAGATGCTGTCCTTACAGCTTCGAGGAACCCCGCTCAGAAATACTCGCTCATTAAGTCTAGCAATAAAATACCATCATGGGTGATGCTAGCGAACCCAGATCTTCTTCCCTACTGCAAGTACTGCAGCAAACCCGGAATGTCATCCTCTCGGAGACAGACAGTACGTCGGGAACATCAAAGAAATACATAGCAATAATTTCACTAACGGGATGAAGCGTACGCATTGCCAACCATAGGGAATCTACTTAAACAGCTGGTGCGAGTAGTCGATGCGCTTCGGGCACAGGACTACCCTCGGGAGGCCAATGCCCTCAGTGATGTCCTCACGATAAGCCAACAACCCACGGAGATAGGAGGACTCGGTTTATCCGCAGCAGACAGTCTAACACCCGAGCAAGAAGCCGAAATTACTTTCCTGGTCACAGCATGGCTTGAAGCATTGAACTCGGCCGATCGCGCCAGGGCACCACCTGTTCCACTCGCAGTCCGACCCCCCGGTCGACGTGGCATGACGCTGAGCGAGAAGATCTTTGCGCTGCACAATATTGACCAGAAGGGGTCCGTAGCACCTGGAGAGTTGATCCGCGTGGACGTCGACTGGGTAATTGCTTCTGAGGCTTCATGGAAGGTACGTGGTTCTCATTCAGCGCAGAGCTACATATCCAGATGCTTACCGCAAGACTCATAGGGCATGGAACGAACGTATGAGCATCTCGGGAAGCCTGGAATTTACCGGAATGACCGGTTCTGGCTAGCAGGTGATCATGTCGTGGACCCCCGGGTGAATGAACATCCCAAAGTTAAGGCATTGATTGACGCCAGTGAGAGGGCTAAGCACGTCTTCAAGATGACCGACTATCAGGGCATGAACGTATGTCTATTCCAGTTTTGCGAGACTGCACCGCTTGTGCTTACACGCTGTAGTATACTATCCTTCATACCGAGTTTTACCGCGAACGAGCCCAGCCGGGCATGGTAGTCGTTGGTTCCGATTCCCACACCTGCTCTTCCGGGGCATTAGGCTGTCTGGCCATCGGCTTGGGAGCAGCCGATGTGACTCTTCCGCTGGTGACGGGAGAGACGTGGTTCAAGGTCCCTGAATCGGTCAACATTCGTCTAGTCGGTGCTCCTAAACCCGGGATTGGTGGGAAGGACACTATTCTGTACATTCTGCAACAGCTGAAGCGGAACACTGTGGCCGCGGACCGGATCGTCGAGTTCACCGGGCCAGGAGTTAAGCATCTTTCTTGCGATGCTCGGTTTGCCATTAGCAACATGACCACAGTCCGTCCATCATCTTGTACAAAGGCCGAAGAAGTGCTAACGGTCATAGGAATTCGGCGGAATTACCGGTGTTTTCGTGCCCGATGAAATTACGGAAGAATTCATCCAGAAGCGACGCCTGCCCCGACATAAAAACACCAGCGTCTACTTCAAACCCGACGATGATGCCGAGTATGCCGAAACCCATGAGATAGACCTTGGCGAGGTCCGGTCGTTTCTGGCCAAGTATCCCAACCCTGACGACGTCGTTCCTGTCACCGAGCAGGAAGGAATGCATCTGGATGGGTGCTTTATTGGTGCTTGCACCACTGCCGAAGAGGATCTGATTCTCGGTGCTCTTGTGCTGGAACAAGGGCTCCAGCGTGGTATGAAGCCGATTTCTCAGGGGAAGAGGAAGGTTGTTCCGGGCTCGATGCCTATACTACACAGACTTCGTGAGGTAGGTCTTGCACAGATCTACGAAGATGCTGGATTTGAGATCGGCATTCCGGGGTGCAGTTATTGCGTCGGCATGTCGGCCGACCAGGCTGGGCCGGGAGAAGTCTGGATCTCGTCGCAGAACCGCAACTTTGAGAACCGTATGGGCAAAGGTACGTTGATAACACGTGGACGAAGATGGCGACATAGGTCTAACTGCAATACAAGGGTCCATCGGCAATCTTGCATCCGCTGCCACAGTTGCAGCTTCGTCATTTGAGATGAAGCTGAAAGACCCGCATGAATTTCTCGAAACTATCGATTTGGAAAGATGGCATACCCTCCGTGGTTTTTCTATGTCTGCAATAGACTCTACACAAGACCATATCTCCTACATGGAACCTAGTGGCTCCGCGACAGCAGAAATAAAGAACGCCGGCTCGACAGATGTCAAGTCGTCAGAGGTGGATACTTCAGAGACAGCAGATAGCTCTTCGTCCGACGTGATGACAGGCAAAGTGCAGCGCCTGGGCGATTTCATCGATACTGATGCTGTATGCTGTTCCCTTCCCTCTGAATCCCGTCACATCAGCTAATAAGTACCAGCTGGCCCCTGCCCAATTCCTTATCAGCATGTCAGACAATAAGATCGCAGGCGAGCACTGCCTCGAACACACCCACCCCGAATTCCGCCAGCGCGTCAAAGACGGGTTCAATATTGTCGTGGCAGGCAAAGCATTTGGATGTGGATCGTCCCGTGAACAGGCGGTTATGGCACTCTTAGGTACGTCTGTTTCATATTCTCCATTGCCGATTTCCTTCTAATACCATGTTACACAGGCTGCGGCGTCCAGTGTGTCATCGCCAAGTCATACTCGTTCATCTTCCAGCGTAACATGCCCAGTCTGGGTCTCTTGGGCATCACCCTGACTGACGAGGCATTTTACGACGTCGCTCAAGATGGCAACGAGATTTCCATCGACTTCAAGACCAAGGTCATAGACGTTGATGGGAAGCAGTTCGGATTCCAGTTGAGTCAGATGGAGCGGGAGCTCTTTCAGCATGGCGGTATCGCTTCGGCATTCCAAAAATTTGGAAACCGGCTGTTTGAGCAGATGACCAGACCGAAGAATCTGGGGAGTGCGAAGTCACTTGCGCTTCGTGGAAGTGGGGAGAGTGCTGGCCCGCATGCAGGATTGCAGTGGTAGCGGCTGGCTATCGTGGAGGTAATCTTCCGTAAATAAGAAGTAGTTTTACTCTTAGGACATTCGTTATGCATGACAGCCGTGTGACGATAGGCAAAAGCAAGTGACTGAACGCAGTGTGTCAACACCCTCCAGGAGCAGTAAAGATTT